GCTGGAAGTTCCCGCGGTGTGACAACCTCGCCAGAGGCTGCCCTCCACAGCAAGAGTTGCCAGGGCTTCCCTTGCTCCCTGAGCGGAGAAAACTGCACGTCTGTCATTACTCTGCTGAAGTCCTCTGGTGGCTAGAGGCCCCAATGTGGGAGTTGTATTCCCAAGCTATGTTTCTCAATGCCGCATCGCGCGGTGAAGATGTCTGGAGGTTCCCAGAAGCCTTTGGCGACCCAAGAAGGGCCAAATACAGTCGGGGCCCTGAAGAAGGAACGCTTTTCGTTGGGGAGGGGCTCGGTGTTCCTTGATTGCTTCACAGTTTGCCTCGGGTTTCCCTCAGGCATTTGTATGGGAAATCGAAGTTTAACTTATGGAAAAGAGGGGCCTCGTTCCTTATTTAGGGTTCCTTAGGTCAACGCCCTGGCTGTACTTGCAAAAGCCTCCTCCCATGACCCTCGGACCCTGATCCTCACCACTCCAGTTCGTTGATGGATTTTCCCCTCGACGGAAAGCCCTAAGCAAGCCTCAGTCGCCCTGTCCTCATTGGTCTGGTCAGGGTCTCCCTTTTTTCACTTGAGCTGAAGGTCCCTGGAGGTTGAATTCAGCATCGGCGCCGGTATTTCCTCGGGTCTCATACAGCCGAGTCCAGCATGATTCAATTGCATCCCTTTAATCCGGCCCAATTCGGCATGATTCTGTACCCAACCTGGCCTAATATGGCGTATACTAGCTCCAAATCCTTCCCACGACGACCTCCCAGGAGTTGCCTCCTAGAGGAGGAGGAGGAGGAGGAGGAGGAGGAGGAGGAGGAGGAGGAGGAGGACGAGGAGGAGGAGGAGGAGGAGGAGGACCAGAGTAAACCGAATATGCATGAGCGATGCTGCAACCCTCCCGTTCCAAGTCGTACAGCCCTACAGGTCCTCCTTGTACTGCAAGCAGCCCCCCCCTTTTGAAGTACCGGCACACTCGGGCATGTCACTTTGGCGGGGGCCCCGCTTGAAAATGACTGCCTTACATGTTTCTGACGCGTAATCGGGAGCGCGAAGAATCAGCATGCAGTTCATCGAGGAGTCCAGCGATGTCCACATGTCAATTTACGCTAGTGGCCATGCCATGAACCCCATGTAAATTTACGCTAGTGGTCATACCATGAACTTCGAGGAATTTCAAGTGGCAGGTCCATGGCCATCAAACAGCCACCGTGGATCCGTGCAGCCCTACGTGGACCGACATTTTTCGGGTGCCGAAAATCCATGTCTCGGACAATACCTCCATTATGGGAGGAAAGAGTAGTCCTCCATCCTGCTAAACGCTGCGCTTCCAGCAAAACTGAAACAAGAAAACACGAGAGCGCGCGGCGCTGAGGCGAGAGCCCCATCTTGAGCACGACCAGTGCTCAAGCTTTGGACTGCTGCAAGAGTTCTGCGACGAGTGTTCCTGGCGCTGAGGCGAGAGAACCCCACTCTGAACCGGGCCGCCCTCTGTCCGTGAGGGTCGTGACAGCCTTGAGAAAACGAGTGCGCGCGGTGCCGGGCGAGAGTACCATTTTGAACACGGTCCCCCGCCCCCTTTTCAAGGCAAGTGTGCGCGGCGCGGCGCTCCAGCGAGAACCACATTTTTACACCGGCCCCTCCCCCGTCCCCGAAACTGCTGCAACTGTTCAAGGCGAGCGTGCGCGGTGCTCGGGCGAGGGCCACGTTTTGGAAAGGAGCCGCCCTCCATCGATGAAGCTGCTGTAGACTGGTGGAACGACTGTGCGCGGCGCTATGGCGACAGCCTCATTTTGAAAACGACCCCCTCTGCATCCGTGAAGTTGGCACACACTTTTAAGACGAATCTGCACGGCGCTAAGGCGAGAGCCACATTTTGGAATGGAGCCGCCCTCCATCTGCGAAGCTGTTGCAGAATTCCGAGACGACCGTGTGCGGCGCTACGGCGTGAGCAGCATTTCAGAAACGACGCTCCTCCATCCGTGAAACTGTTACAATTTTTAAGACGACTGTGCGCGGCGCTAAGGCGAGAGACACATCTTGAAAACCACTCGCCCTTCATCCGTGAAGCTGTGGCAAACTTTGAGACGCATGTGCGCGGCGCCAACCATTTTGAGGGCTACCCGACCTCCATCCGTGAAGGTGTTGCAGAATCCAAGCTTCAGGACATACATGGTGGGAAGTCTCGGGCGAAACGCCCGGCCCGCCCTATGCGATGCGTCTGGGGGGGTGCGACAGGGAGGAGCTGATTCCTAAGGAAAACGGATGCAGGAGGAGGGGGAGGAGGAGGACGAGGGGGAGAGGAGGAGGAAGAGGAGGAGGAGGAGGAGGCGGAGGAGGAGGAGGAGGAGGTGGAGGAGGAGGAGGAGGACGGCGAGGGTCAAGCTGGCCTCCTTCCCCCGCCCCCTCCCACCTGCATGCTCCTCGCCACCGCCGGCCCGCAAAACGAGCCCGCGAGCGGGCGCCGCGGGCCCCGGAGCACGCGGCCCGGTGCGGCGCCCCGCCCGCGCCCGAAAAGGGTGGCTGGCCCCGCGCAAGCCGTCGTCGTCGTCGTCGTCGTCGTCGTCGTCGTCGTCGTCGTCGCCGTCGTCGTCGTCGTCGTCGTCGTCGTCGCCGTCGTCGTCGTCGTCGTCGTCGTCGTCGTCGTCGTCGTCGTCGTCGTCGTCGTCGTCGTAGTCGTCATCGTCGTCGTCCCCAGACCTTGCTGCTGCGAAGACATCACGACGGGAGGTTTGTCCCCGTTTTCGCCCTCCAGGGGCTCTTGCCGCGGTGGGTCGTCGTCGTCGTCTTCGTTGTCGTCGTCATCGTCGTCGTCGTCGTCGTCGTCGTCGTCGTCGTCGTCCACGTCTACGTCCACGTCCACGACTACGTCCACGTCAACGCCCACGTCCATGTCCACGCCCACGCCCACGTCCACGTCCACGTCCACGTCCGCGACCACGTCCACGTCCACGTCCACGTCCACGTTCTCCTCCTTGCTCCTCCCTCCCTTCCTGCGTGGCGGTTGAGCTCCCAGCGAGTCCCCAGGAGGTTGAGTCCCAGTGGTCGCGGGCCGGGTCGTGCAGGATCTCTCGCCGGCCCGAAGAGGAGCATGAGGAGACTGATGTGATGCTGGGTTGGAACGCTGGGTTGGGTGACGAGCCGTTTTCAATCTCTGTGCGAGTGGCTCGGCGGGGTGGCGCACGACAGACCACCTCCGCCACCCGCTGAGCCAGAGGCCTCTGGAGACGCCTCTGACAAAAGAAAAGGGTCGGCAGTCCGGGGCGCCTGCTAGTACAGCATGTCCGCCCAGGCCACATCTCGTAATGATTGCTCTCAGTGGCTGAGCCCAGAGTGGCTCAACTCAAACTGGACGAGGACTTGCCCCACGGAGACCGTCTGTTCCATGCCTACGATGGTCCCGAATCCTAGAGCTTGACCTGGACCTATGAGAAGGTCCTGGCCTACTCAGCCTTGTAATGGGAGCAGCCGAGGGGCTGTCGATGATTCGTTGGCTTACGCCACACCGCCGACCCCTTGGGGCGGCAGCAATCGTCCCCCGCGTGGCCTGTCCGGACAGCTTGTGAGGCCCCTCTAGACACGTTTTTTTGGAGCCCTCTTAGGACCGTCCTGCCGTTCCCCCGGGCCGTTGTTATGGTTTCTGGGGCCTTCGTGGGGCGCCCGGAGGCCATCGTGAAGCCTTTTGGAGAGTCTCTTGGGGTGCCAGAGGTCGATCTTGGAGGTTTACTGGGCCGTTGTGGGCCTCGCGGACGCCCAAGAAGCGAATATGCTGAAAATTTTCGTTTTCCCCAGGGAATGGGGCGGTTTTTGCATCTGGAGGCCTGCTTGGAGTGCCTCGTGGTCGCGTATGCAAGCGTCTTGGGCGCCCATGGGGCTGTCTGGAGGCAACCTTGGGCGGTTTGGACCGAATCGTCCCCCGCGTGGGCCGTCCGGACAGCCTGTGGGAGCCCTCTAAGCCCGTTTTGGAGCCCTGTTGGGACCGTCCTGCGGCTTTCCTGGGCCGTTGCTATGGTTTCTGGAGCCTTCGTGGATCGCCCGGAAGCCGTCTTGGAGCCGTCTTGGGAGCCTCTTCGGGTGACAGGGGTCGATCTTGGAGTTTTATTGGGCCGTTGTGGGCCTCGTGAAAGCCCACTGAGCGAATTTGCTGAAAATGTGCGTTTTACCTCGGGAATGTGACGGTTTTTGCTTTTGGAGGCCTTCTTGGAGCGCCTCGTGGTCGCGTTTTCAAACGTCTTGGACGCACATGGGGCCGTCTGGCGGCGATCTTGGGCGGTTTGGACCGAATCGTCCCCCGCGTGGGCCGTCTGGACAGTCTTTGGGGGCCCTCTTGCCTCGTTTTGGAGCCCTCTTGGGACCGCCCTGCGGCTTTCCTGGGCCGTTGCTATGGTTTCTGGAGCCTTCGTGGATCGCCCGGAAGCCGTCTTGGAGCCTTCTTGGGAGCCTCTTCGGGTGACAGGGGTCGATCTTGGAGGCTTCTTGGGCCGTTTTGCGCCGCGTGGAAGCCGAATGGGCGAATGTGGTGAAAATGTACATTTTACATAGAAAATGAAACGATTTTTGCTTCTGTGGGGCGCCTCGTAATATTGTTTCAAACGTCTTGGGGACTTGTGGAGCCGTGTGGAGGCAATCTTCGGCGTTTTGGGGAGATCTTTCGTCGATTCGTAGCTCTCTTGGACCGTTCCGGGAACCTTTGGAACCTTTTTGGCCCGTTTTGGGGCCTCCTGAGGCTCCAAGTGTGCGGATGATGGATTTGCTCCCCCCCCACCCCCCCCACCTCCTCTAAACCGGCCGGACCAGGCTCCCGGGGGAGGGGTTTTGGGAGGGGGAAGCATCTCACACGCCGTGACCCAGGGGTCGGCGGACTTGGAAGTGTTGGAATCCATACTGGTAGTGCTCGGATTTCCTGTCGACACCCATTTCGGTCGACGCCCACTGGGTCTTCTCGGAAATTGCTGGGTGTGCTCGCTGTGGAGGGGTGCAAGGGAGGTGGACGAAAAGAAGGACAGATGAGGTGGAGAGGGGGGAGCCCGTAGAAGTCGAGCTCGTAGTGGTCGAGCGTTGTCCTGCTAGAACACTCGCCTGCTGTGCTTACGGCGGTTGAGCCTGGATTGCTCTAGCACCCAGCGGTCGAGGAATGTGCGCGGCGCTAAGGCGAAAGCCACAGTTTGAAAACGAACCGCCCTCAATCCGCGAAACTCTAGCATATTTTTAAGACGAATGTGCGCGGCGCTAAGGCAAGAGCCACAGTCTGAAAACGAACCGCCCTCAATCCGCGAAACGCTTTTCAAATACTTAAAGCGATTGTGCGTGGCGCTAAGGTGAGAGCCACATTTTGAAAACGAACCGCCCTCAATCCGTGAAGCTCTTGCATGTGTTTTTACGCGAATGTGCGTGGCGCTCAGGCGAGAGCCACATTTTGAAAACGACCCGCCCTCAATCCGTGGAGATCTTGCATTTTTACAACGAATGTGCGTGGCGCTAACGCGAGAGCCACATTTGGAAGCGACCCGTCCTCCATTTATCAAGCTGTTGCCATTTGATAAGCTTCAGGGTCATAAATGGTGAGGAAGTCTTAGACGAAACGCCCGTCCCACCCTTTCGACCGGCCTCGGGGTGCGACAGGGAGGAGTTCTCTATAAGTAACAGGCATGGAGGAGGCGGAGGAGAAAGAGGGCGGAGGGAGGAGGGGCAGGCGGAGGAGGAGGGCGGAGGGATGAGGGCTTCGTGGCTGCTGTGGCCGCTCCCCGGGCGCACAGGCTCTCCTGCAGCAGTACACCCGAAACGCCAGCCTCTCGACGGCGGACGGCTCCGCGCCAGGGTCGCAAGGCGGAGAGGTGAGAGGACTGCGATAGATTATGGGGAGCTGGAGACTTGAAAGGCGGATGATGATGATGCTGCTCATGATGCTGATGATATTGACAATTATGGTAATGATGATAATGCTGCTGCTGATGATGATGATGCTGATGATGATGATGATGATGATGATGATGATGATGATGGATATGATGATGATGGTGGTGGTGGTGATGATGGTGATGATGTTAATGATGCTGCTGCTGATGCTGCGGATGAGGGTGAGGATGCGGATGAGGATGAGGATGTGGATAAGGATGGTGGTGGTGTTTTTGATTGTGACGGACCTGATGATGCTGCATCTGATGATGCTGCTGATGATTGTGACGATGATGATGGTGCTGCTGCTGCTGATGATGATGATGGTGCGGGTGAGGATGCTGATGATGATGATGAAGATGTTGATATCTATGGTGGTATCACGAGGAGTACTAGGATGATGCTTTTGATACTGACGATGAGGATGCTTCTGCTGCTGCTGGTGATGCTGATGATGACGATGCTGCTGATGATGAGGATTGATGATGGTGATGATGATGACGACGACGAGATGAAGATGATGATTCTGATGATGCTGATTACGATGTGGATGGTGGTGGCGTTGATGATGATGATGATGATGATGATGATGATGATGATGCCGCTGATGCTGCAACAATGGCGATGCTGGTTGTGATTGTGGTGGTGGTGGTGGTGACTGTGCTGCTGATGATGCCGAGTCTTATTACGATGGCGATGGCGATGTTGATGATGTTGCTGATGATGATGATGATGGTATGGTGATGGTGATGATGGTGATGGAGGTGATGCTAATGACGGTTGTAGTGATGATGCAAATGATGAGTGATGATGATGATGATGCTGATGATGATGATGATGATGATGATCATGAAGATGTGATAGTGATGATGCTGATGATGATGATGCTGATGTTGATGATGATAATGCTGGTGATGACGATTTTGTAGCTGATGATGATGATGATGATGGTGGTGGTGATGATGATGTTAGCCACGACGATGATGATGACGAGGATGATTACGACTATGATGCTGATGCTGTTAATGATGATGCTGATGACGATGACGATGACGATGACGATGATGATGATGATGATGATGATGATGATGATGATGATGATGATGATGATGATGATGATGCTACTGCTGCTGCTGATGATGACGACGATGACGATGATGATGCCAGTGGTTGTGATTGGGACGGTGTTGGTGATGATGATTACTACACCGGGGGTGAGGATTCTGAGAATAATGATGGCGAGGCGGCGGCAGATGATGAAGATATGGCAATGGAGGAGGATGAAGGAGAGGATGAGGATGATGAGGAGGGGGATGGGGGTGATGATTAGGATGCTGATTCTGATGATGATGACGATGACGACGATGATGATGACGTGATCATGCTGATGGTGCTGATGATGATGATGCTTGTGATCATGACGATGCTGATGATGATGACGACGATGATGATGCTGATGATGACGACGATGAGGTTGATGATGATGGTTCGGCGATGCGCATGACGTTGTGGAGGAGGATGCGGATAATCATGCTGCTGCTGGTACTGATGCTCATGCCGACGATGCTGCTGCTGATGATGACGATGATGAGGATGCGTGTAAGTAGGATAAGGATGG